TCGTTGTTGCATGCAACCTTAGTGGCACATATTAATTAAAGGTTAGTAAAGTTAAAAAAGTGTAATAAAAAATATAATATACTGCACAATAAAAAAGATTTAATAAAATTGATGGAGAAACGTTGCTAAGGTTATTCGATAATAGTGCATTACAAAACAAAAAAATATGTAAGCAAAAGTGAAAAGGGAAACACTAAAAAGAGTGACAAAGAACACTACAGGAAAGTGCACAAGTGCAAAAGGAAAACATTAAAAGCGTTACAAAGGACAGTGCAGGAAAATGCACAAGTGTAAAAGGAAAACACTTAAAAGAGTGACAAAGAACACTACAGGAAAATGCACAAGTGAAAAGGAAAACACTAAAAAGGGTGACAAAGAACACTACAGGAAAATGCACAAGTGAAAAGGAAAACTATAAAAAGGGTGACAAAGAACACTACAGGAAAATGCACAAGTGAAAAGGAAAACACTAAAAAGGGTGACAAAGAACACTACAGGAAAATGCACAAGTGAAAAGGAAAACTATAAAAAGGGTGACAAAGAACACTACAGGAAAATGCACAAGTGCAAAAGGAAAACATTAAAAGCGTTACAAAGGACAGTGCAGGAAAATGCACAAGTGTAAAAGGAAAACACTTAAAAGAGTGACAAAGAACACTACAGGAAAATGCACAAGTGAAAAGGAAAACACTAAAAAGGGTGACAAAGAACACTACAGGAAAATGCACAAGTGAAAAGGAAAACTATAAAAAGGGTGACAAAGAACACTACAGGAAAATGCACAAGTGAAAAGGAAAACACTAAAAAGGGTGACAAAGAACACTACAGGAAAATGCACAAGTGAAAAGGAAAACTATAAAAAGGGTGACACAGAACACTACAGGAAAATGCACAAGTGAAAAGGAAAACACTAAAAAGGGTGACAAAGAACACTACAAGAAAATGCACAAGTGCAAAAGGAAAACACTAAAAGAGTGACAAAGTACAATGCAGGAAAATGCACAAGTGTAAGAGGAAAATAATAGAAAGAGTGACAAAGAACAGTGCAGGAAAATGCACAAGTGTAAGAGGAAAATAATTGAAAGAGTGACAAAGAACAGTGCAGGAAAATGCACAAGTGTAAGAGGAAAATAATAGAAAGAGTGACAAAGAACAGTGCAGGAAAATGCACAAGTGTAAAAGGAAAATACTAAAAAGAGTGACAAAGAACAGTGCAGGAAAAGCCCAAGTGTAAAAGGAAAATACCAATAAGAGTGACAAAGAACAAATGTTAAAGGAAATATTACAAAGAGTGACAAAGAACAGTGCGGGAAAATGCACAAGTGCAAAAAGAAAACACTAAAAAGAGTGACAAAGAACAGTGCAGGAAAATGCACAAGTGTAAAAAGAAAACACTAAAAAGAGTGACAAAGAACAGTGCAGAAAAATGCACAACTGTAAAAGGAAAATACTAATAAGAGTGACAAAGAACAGTGCAGGAAAATGCACAAGTGTAAAAGGAAAATACTAGAAAGAGTGACAAAGAACAGTGTGGGAAAATGCACAAGCGCAAAAGGAAAACACAAAAAGAGGGACAAAGGACAAGTGTAAAAGGAAATATTACAAAGAGTGACAAAGAACAGTGCGGGAAAATGCACAAGTGCAAAATGAAAACACTAAAAAGAGTGACAAGAACAGTGCAGGAAAATGCACAAGTGCAAAAAGAAAATACTAAAAAGAGTGACAAAGAACAGTGCATTTTCCCGCAAAAGGAATATGTCCGTCTTCATCGCGGATATTTCATATTTACAAGTGCGTCCTAAAACCTCCTGTTTAAATGAGAACCCCTATTCCCGCGCCTTACCATCGATAACGTACAGTGACAAAATATACGGGTGTTCACTTTAGCTGTGCGTTGTCATATATTAACGATCTGAAGCAAAAAACTCTGATTTTGGTTTTAACAAATTCTATCAGAGGAATATAATGAAGTGTTCCATTTAAGCTGTCCGTTGTCATATATTAATGATTTGAAGCAAAAATTGTGATATAGGTTTTGAAAGATTTACCTAAAGAATATTATGGACATCATGTTTAATTTCATGCGCATGCTCTTGGCAAGACATAACTTTCTGATAAGTTAACAGATTCTCGAGTATAGTGTATGCTCGGAAATTTTGTCACTGTACGTTGTCGATGGTTAGGCGTGATCTCAACCAATTAGAATTGATACATACCTCGTCCGAGTAACATAATTTTACTGGTAAAGACTGAATCAACCAATGTTCTTCTGAACAGATATACGATGCATAATCAATTCTGGATTGATAAACATGATATTCTTGTCGATATTTATGCTCAGAATACAATACACAGTAAATGAGATTTTCCCAAAAACTGAAGATAAGTTAAGATTTTCCTTATTTCTCAGTTTTTCTTAATTTCAAATTATCTAAGAATAGCATGTAGGTTATAGCTGAAACCGAAATAATCGTAAACCGTATGCAGTGATTCCCAGTTGTTGGAGTGTCCACCAAAATGTAGCTTGTGTTAAACGGAGCAAGCCGATTTGTGCCAATGAAATGAACGATGAATAACCTGTCCTAAATTGATGATTGTGATGCTTAGAATGTAATACACAGTTATAGTTTTGTCATAAAATGAAAAGAAAAAAATTCGAATTATGTTGAAATAATGTTATTATATTTTTTCTTATTTACATACAAATTATAATTATACGAATGATTCGCATAACGCACATGAATGCAAAATGATCTTCAGTATCCATTAATTCCCAAATTGCTAGATTAACCCAACCTAGCTTGAGCTAAAAGGAACAAGCCGATTTGTAAACTTGAGAAAGAATCTTTTTTTTGTATGTCGAGCTTTTCAGCTTTTCAGCTCTTGTTTCAGTTTCAAACAATTTATCCAAGAATAACATGCATAACACACACCAAAAATGATCGGTCGTGAGACAGTATCCCATTATTCCTAGTTGCTAGATTGTCCTTACCCAGTTTGTGTTAAATGGAGCGGGCTGATTTGTAAACTAAGCGTTCTGTTGTTCCACAACAAAAAATACGATGCATAATCTTGTCTGAATAGATGATCTTGATTGTCTTCATCAAGAATGCAATTCCCAGTTTTAGTTCTGGAATGAAATTTTAGAAAAAATGCATACCAAAGTAAGAGAGCATCCATTGTTTCCCAGTTGTTGGCTTGTCTCTACCTAACTTGTGTTAATGCACCATTCAAAAGTTTGCGTGAGACCCCCGTGAATGTTGAGAGATAGACGTTCAGTACTGTGTCACCATATGTCACGCCCAGTGATCGAAAGAAATGAGCGGAGGGGGATTAGCTGATTTTCTCTAGAAACCCCAAAATGAATAGGCGTACGACACGGGGAAATGTGTTAAGACTTCTAAATTTTTTTGAACTGGTGGGCTTCTAAGATATAAGAACAATTTAAAAGGCGCAGCGTCGCCAACGTGCAAAAGCCAATATGTCTGCTATAAATCAAGCAATATTATAAGTTATTGAATGATTTGAAGTGCAATACAGGATATATTCTGCTCGAGAAATTCCGTATTGGAACGAGACGAAGTCGAGTGCCAATACAGAATATCGAGACAGAATATATCCTGTATTGCACTTCAAATCATTCAATAACGTTTTTATCGTGTGATCCTCTGTATTGCTACTGAGATTGTCCCTTCCGTACCAATATTTTCTGTATTACGACGGAGATGATCAACGGGGACAATCTCAGTAGCAATACAGATTGGTACAGCACAAGAACTGACCAATCAGAAGGCTTCATTTTACAGATCATACGATAAAATGGTTTACAAGACCAGTTATACATAATGTACTTGTAAGTGACGTTATCAACACATTTGCTATCGTCATTGCTGGTTTTATAAAATACGTTATCATACGTTATGTAAAAAATAATCGAAAATAATATATTTTGAACGGAGGGGGGAAGGTAAACGGAGGGGGAGTAATATATCTATAAGACATATGAAAAGAGATGTAACTTGACTTTATTTCAAATAACTCAAAAAGCCCCTATTTTTCACTCTTCAGAGTTGTTACTGAGTTTCTGAATTCATCTTTCAAATACACGAATTCGCGGAAATTTCCCCTTAAAGTCCTATCACTCCCCCTCCGTTCACACCCCGTTCATTTTTAATTATTTCGATTATTTTTTATCTAACGTGTTGAAACAAATTGGTCCTTGGTGACCGCATAGAACCACTCGGTCCAACTATGCATATTGAAAACCGTTAATCCACCGTTTTTCTTCAAACTTCTTCCATACAAAAAAAAACAAAAATGCCTTTCTGTTGGAACATTATTCTGTTATACAGAGTCCCTCCTTTTAGCAGCGTTTTGGTCCCCAGAAGCGCTTCTCAAAGTTGGGGACCCTAAACGGCTCTAAAAGGAGGGACTGCTTTACAGAATAATGTACTTACAGAAGACATTTTTGTTTTGCTTTGTATGGAACAAGTTTGAAGAAAAACGGTGCTGCATGCGACTCGCAATCCTTGATTCAAACATTTGGTTGGTCTAAAGTTCAAACGGTTCTCAACATGATAGTTGGATTCGAGGGATTATATGTAGTAACCAGGGATCAATTCGTGACTATGACGTCTTTCTCCGGTCATTCTAAAATCAAATTTCTTTAGCACACAAAAAGTGTCTGTGAATTTCTGTTATTGGAATGTTTGAAATAGGAAAGGTATGGATGTAAGGGGTCCGGATGTCGTTAACAAAAATCGTTGAACTCTTAGAGCGCAAAAATCGTTGAACTCTTAGAGCGATGCAGAACAATTAGGAAATTATATATAATCAATAGTAACATTATGCAAGAAAATGAATATATCAGAATGGAAATCAATTTCTCTAAGTATACCGATAGTATTCCTTTTATATCGTTTAACATCAAATCTATGTATATTGTATGTACTCATGTAACGCCAGAATGCAGATTCGGTGAACTGCGATCATCATACAAAATGAGGGTAATGTTACAATGCGTATTGACGATCACATGCATGACGTCATTATCTGACACGACTGAACTTTTAGAACATATGTTCAGAAGAGTGAGAGATGAAAAGTTCATACCTGACGGTAAAGTTGGAATCGGACATCTAAAAAACATCGTCATTAACACTCCACTAGATTGTGCCGTAGAGTGTTTAAAAACATCGACCTGTGCCCGGATAAATGTTGGGAAACTGACGGAAACGGAGTGGAGCTGTGATTTGTTTGGATGGGGCACAGGTACAAAAACAACTAGCCCAAATGATCAACATTGGACAATCATCAATGGTGAGTTTTGTTCATATATACAGTACAGGGTGGGCCAATAAAAATTGGAACATTTTTCTATTAATTCAATTGTCTTTATTTTTGCAGTTCATTTTACAAAAATTCAGATAATGGTAAAATAATTATTTGTGAAAATGTTAAAGATAAAAACATGTATGTATGATTATTTTTGGCTTGTAATGGTCATAATCTGTATTCTGCATGGTAAATTTTTATTGGTCTACCCTGTATGTGTATATTTTTATTTATTTATTTATTACAGTGTCACCCGTAATTATACGGCTTATGAGACACAATTACAATCATATTATAAGCAGATAAGTCAGAATTAACACTTACTTTAATCTATCTTTAGCCTCCAAAGACAAAAGCAAAAAATTTGAAACATATTTACAGAGTGATTTAGAATTCAATAAGTACATTCTATGTAAGTTCATCTCTCTGGTTAATATATCAGAAACAAGTCAAATTCTTTACTTCAGAGAATATTTTTAATTTATTGAGACTTTCGACTAATATCCCTTAGTCTTTTTCAAAATATAACAGCATGTATACATTTATGTGACGTCATAAACAGACAATGGAAAATTTAATTATGTAACAAATGACCTAGTAACCTAAAAAAATAACAACAACAAAAAACATAGATACGAAAAAACGAATGACCTAATGATAACCTTAAGATAAATATATCATCGTTATGGTAACAATTAAACTCAAATATTACTATTGCATACTTTGCTATACCATTCTTAATTTACAATATTTTATGATACAAATTGTCCAACTGATACCCATTATCTCTGTTCATTTTAGGTTGCATTGTTTTAATATGAATTGCTTCCTTAACCCTACGTTTAAGATCATGACTCTCATTATCAATGATTTTTACATTGTTCCAGTTTATATTATGATCATATTCCATGGAATGTTCAATAACCGCAGAAGCAAGACCTCCAGTCGACAGTAATGTGGGTCTACGATGTTCTCTGATTCTAGTAACTAGTTCCCGCTTTGTTTCACCTACATAAGTGGCAATACAGTCTTTACAATCAATTTTGTAAATTACACCGGACTTCTTTTGATCATTAGTTTTGTCCTTTAAATGCACCAACTGTTTCTTGATAGTATTCTGCGATGAGAAACATACTCGGACACGATGCCTTTTAAAAATACGCCGTAACTGGTTGGAAATACTAGGGATATACGGAAGAACTGCAGTACACCTTATATCGTCCTCATTTCTTGTTCTGTTTACATTATTTGTCGCATGTCTTTCACCTTCTTTAATCAGCCATTCCGGGTACCCACACTCCTTTAATGATCGGCAAACCAGTTCCTTTTCTTTCTTTAGATCTTCCTCTTTAGTTACCAATGTTTCTGCCCTCCTAAAGAGGGATTTGACAACTCCTCTTTTAGTATCAAGAGAATGATTTGATTGGAAATGCAAATACTGATTTGTGTGCGTTGGTTTGCGGTAAACACTAAATGACAAAGATCCGTCTTGTTCAATCTGGGACATCGTATCCAAAAATGGGAGACGTTTATCGGCGGAACATACTTCCTTGGTGAATTTTATTCTCTCGTGTTGTTTATTCAAATGTTCACTAAACGATTGTTCATCATCCCTCTTTATGATCACAAACGTATCGTCAACAAATCGACCCCAAAATCGACGATGATATATTTATCTTAAGGTTATTATTAGGTCATTCGTTTTTTCGTATCTATGTTTTTTGTTGTTGTTATTTTTTTAGGTTACTAGGTCATTTGTTACATAATTAAATTTTCCATTGTCTGTTTATGACGTCACATAAATGTATACATGCTGTTATATTTTGAAAAAGACTAAGGGATATTAGTCGAAAGTCTCAATAAATTAAAAATATTCTCTGAAGTAAAGAATTTGACTTGTTTCTAATAAGTACATTGTTTTCTTTTCATTATCACAAGACTCAAATAGATCATATATAGCTTTTACTTTACAAAACATTTCCTCTCTTAATTTATGATTATCCATGAAGTGATGTCTGTTAATATACTAGTACCCAAGAATGAAGAGTCCTATGTCAGTTTGAGGAAACCAGAAATTTAGAGAAAACGGTATAATTCTGAATGAACACATATTTAGGAGGAAACTATACAAATTACTGTTTTTTGAACTAGTCTACAGTATTCTTAAACATGTTCTTCAGGTTGGATTATTAAATCACATCACAAAACTATTTTTTCTTCTTTTCACAACCTTTATTTTACTAAACAGGACGTTACGGATCCTGTCTGAATCCCTTTTCAACTGTTATAAAAACTGTAATGAAGCGCTACAAAATTATTAAATAAAAAAAAATTAAAAAATATATTTTTTAAATTGTTTTGTAGCGCTTTAGTTCAGTTTTTATTACAGTTGAAAATGATCCAGACAGGATCCGAAACGTCCTGTTTACTGTTAGTAAAATAAAGGTTGTGGAAAGAAGAAAAAATAGTTTTGTAATTTGTAGTCCTAATTAGTTATTTAGAACCAAATCTATTTAGATGCTTAAGATGACCTCCTATCACTTCCATAACCCAGCAAGACAAGCATCCCCTTTGTCAACACATATTAACAGATATTCTATGTCCTTTTTGAAATCCAGAGTGAACATTTAACAATAAAACATTCTTCGATTTTCGCCCTTATTTACTACGATTTTACTTACTTACACCCCAGTCACATTTCCCACGGCCGCCGTGAGGTCTGTCATTTCTGCGGCCAGTAGCTTTTCTACGCTCGTCGTAGAATTTCTGCGCTCCCATACTTTTGCAGTCACATTTCCCACGGCAGCCGCACGGTGAATTTTAAATTTCTGTTGATAGATATTACTTTATTTCATTTTATTTACATCGGGACAATTTATAAATGTTATTCATATTGCTAAGATGTAATATCAAATGAAAAGTGATCGTGAAACATTGACAAATAATGATTCAATCTTGTTGAGCCAGTTGATTTCTACGGGGACCTCAGAAATGAACAAATATTATAACTCGAGTTATAATTTCTACGGCGACCCTGCGGCCTGTAAAAAAAACTGTAAAAAAAAACTGTAAAAAAAACTGGATACGCCGTACGGAGGCCGCAAGGCGAACGTAGGTTTCCTACGCTCGCCGCAGAAATTCACCGATTTAATTGATCTGCGGTCGACTTACGGCCGCCGTGCGACAAATGTGACTGGGGTGTTAATAGCATTTAGAAATAAAACAGCAAATTAAAAAAAACGTTGTGAGACGGGGAATAGAGGGGCTAAACAAAGTTTTACGATAGATGAGATAATGTAATTATAAGACTAAATAATCTTGTAGAATGTGAAGGTGGCTTTTTAACAAACATCTACGAAGGTTCGTCATATTGCATAATCGAGGAGCAACTTGAATGGAAAGATGCTGAGATGAAATGTATCGAGTATGACGCTCATCTGGTTGCCATAGAGACTTCGAACGAACAAACATCTTTGGTGAACTACCTGGAGAATAACTCTGGTAAACGACAAACCACTTTTGAATTATATCCGAGCAATGGTCATATCACCTTGAGAGAAAAAACAATGTTTTTTATCAAGGCTATAATATTTCAACCATCACTGTCTCTGTAGATTTAAATGTAACTGTAGGCTAAGGTCCATAGAAATATTTTTTAAATAAAGATGGCATGGTAATCGATCTGTGTTTATTCATATAATTCTTAAGGAGGATTGCACCGGTAGTATCCAAAGCCCCGCTATGATTTCAAAGTCGCGAGCAAGTTCCCGCTGAAATCGCGAGGAATAAAAAAGTGATGGGTTGTCTTTTGTTTACTTGAATTGTATGATGTACAAAACGTTTTCTTTTTAATTTTCCGCAATGATTACATGGTATTGAGAATAAAAAGGCAACTGATGGAAAAAAGTATCACGAGCGGTCGTTCTGTGGTTCTTTATTTGACAATTGAAGAGAGAAAAGTATCATCTTGAATCTTTATCTATATATTTCTATACGTTATAGGTGAAGAACGACGTTGTCCTGTGGTTGAAATAACGGTAGTGATTTGAAATAAAAATGTACTGAGTTTCACTTCCTAAAGCTTTACAGAACACTTTGTATTTAAATGTTATCATATCTCTCAAGGCCCAGCTTCTAGCGGAGCAAAAAGCAAAGACCCCGCTGAAATCATGAGGAGGCCCCGCTGAAAACATGAGGAGGTCCCGCTGAAAACAGGAGCAAGTGTCTCTCAAAAATGGAATGAATCCTGATTATACCGTGAAAATCTCCCACTATCGTACCCAGCTTGATCCACTATTTTACCCAGTTTCATGAATACATCATTTGTTGATACAATTCTTAAAAACAGCAAATACTGTATTGATATAGTACATATTATGATACGTTGTAATGGAAAAATGTGATGAGAATTAGATCGGATGAAATGTTAAAAGTTTAACCTCATTTTCATAATTACGATGTGAACATAAATGTTGTTGATTTTACGCATCAAATCTAATCAATTCAACTGTTTGAAAAGTAAGTGGAATTCCATCATTTATGAGTACAAGTCGATATTTAGTAAGATTCATGCGTAAGCTAAAACGATTAAGTCAGAAAAATGTTCAGTTATACTATTTTTGTCTCAATCTTCTGTTGCCAGCTTAGATACTCACTCACTCACTCACTCACTCAACCACCCACTAACTCACTCACTTTTTCCCTCCCTTTTCAGAAATGAACGAACGCACGAACGAATGCAAAAAGTATTTACCAACAAATAACGAACGAACACTCGCACGGACGTACGCACGAACGAAGGCATGCACGAATAAATGCACACATGAATGAACGGTCAGACGAACGTACCAACGCACACACGAACGGTCGTTTGAACGCACAAACCGACGGCTAGACAAACACGCGCAAAAACGACCAGACAAACGCACGCATGAACGGACGGTCGAAAGAACGCACGCACGGACGAAAGGACGTTCAGATAGACGCACTCATGACTGAATGGACAGTCGGACGAAACAAGCACGAACGGAAGATCGGACGAACGCATGCACGCACGAATGAACGGTAGAACAAACGCACGCACGAACGAACGGACGGTCGGACGAACGCACACTCGAACGAATGGATGGTCAGACGAACGCACGCACGCGCTAACGATCGGACGGACGAACGCCCGAACGAACGGTGGGACAAACAAACGCACGAATGTACGATTGGACGGTCGGACGGGCGCTGGCACGAACGGACGGTTTGACGATCGCACGAATGGACGATTTGACTATCGCACGAATGCACGAACGAACGAACGAACAAACGGTCAGACGATCGCATGCCTGAGCGAACGGATTTCGAACGAACGCACCAACGAACGTACGTACGGTCGAACAAACGCATACACGAACGTACGGTCGGACGAACGCATGCACGAACGAATGAACGGTCGGACGAACGCACGCAAAAAATGGACGGTCAGAAGAACAAACAAGCCAATGAAATATATGTGTCCTCAGAAATTCCTTGGAACATCGAATTATATAGAATTTACATTTAACTGTACGCGAGACGAGCCTACGACAAAATTGATAGGAATTTATTATGGTACAAGCTTAGCCAAATAGGCATATCTGGTCGCTTTATGGGCGCACTTCAAGCGATGTACAATGACGTAAGGAGTTGTGTGAGCATCAATGGACACTTAACTGAATCATTTGAGGTTGCATCCGGCCTTAAGCAGGGCTGTTTAACATCTTGTTTGCTCTTCAATCTATATATAAATGACCTTATCGATGATGTAAAATCTCTGAATTCGGGAGTCGACGTCAACGGAGAAAATTTTTCCATCCTTGTCTACGCTGACGATATAGCATTTATAGGCCCAACTGAAGAGGCAGTGCAACGTATGTTGGATGTATTACGCGCATGGTGCTTTAAATGGAGAATGTCATTAAATACTTCGAAAACGAATGTGGTGCACTTTCGACCAAAGTCCGTACCCCAAACTAACTTCGCATTTAAATTTGATAATCATGACATCAACGTTAAACCATCGTACAAATATCTTGGACTCAGTTTCAATGAACACTTGGATTATTCTCTGATGGCGAAAGCAATAGCTCAATCTGCCAGTCGTGCGTTGGGTCTTCTAACAGCAAAGTATAAGTCCTTTGGAGGCCTCCCTTATAAGTGCTACACGAGATTATACGATTGCCTAGTGCGACCAATACTGGAGTACGGTGCTGAGGTATGGGGACTTAAGCAACATTCCTGCATTAATGCTGTGTTTCACAGAGCATGTAGAATTTTTCTTGGAGTTGGGAAATACACACCAAACCTTGCAGTGAGAGCAGAAATGGGATGGCATTCCCCCTACGAACGGCAGATCCGGTCAGCGACTCGATACAGAGATCGCTGCGAAGCCCTTGAGCGCAATAGGATACCTCGCCGTATTTACAAGTGGAACCAAGATTATGCCTCTCCTAGAACCAAGAACTGGTATTACAACCTGCATCATATTATAACCAGTGATCTCTCACTTCCGTTTGATTCTCCACTTGGCCACGTATCTGCCGAACTAGAGGCAATTGTCTTCCAAAGCTGGCAACAAACCATTTGGAACGACGGAAACCGCCCAGCAGGCCAAGGAAATAAGTTAAGAACATACAGAACTTTCAAGCTGGATTTACAACCGGAATTCTACCTAGCATCTCATATTTCCATTCGCGACCGGAAAGCATTAGCCTCTTTGAGATGTGGCGTTGCTCCGCTACGTTTGGAAACGGGGCGTTACGAACGACTGTCAGTTCCAGAGAGACTGTGTTATTTTTGTGATGTTAATGCCATTGAAAATGAACACCATTTCTTGTTAAAATGTCCGTTTTATTCTAGTATCAGAAATGATTTATTTTCCAAGGTTCAGAATAAAATTACAAACTTTCAAAGACTTACTGACGATGAGAAGTTCTATATCTTGATGTCAAATCATGAGATTGCTGTTTATGTGGCAAAGGCCTGTGGCCAAATGTTTAAAAAAAGAGAACATAAACTGTACAGTTAATTTTGATGAATATCGTTTTATACATAGTGTCTTATAGGCCGAACACGGCCTGGGGTAAGAATATTGAATGCTTTTAATACGTTTGAATTTTATTACCATTTGTATTTTAGCTACATGTTTGTATTAATATATGCCCAGGACACTTTAATAAATTTTACAAATACAAATACAAATGTACAAAGTCTGTTTACACATTTAAGAATTTTATTTTATGACGAGGCTGACAGATGGATCAAACTGCCTGACGTTGCAGAAGAAATAGTTGCGATGTTGCCATTGATATGTTATAATGGTATTAATACGTTATTGACACTCCTTGTACGTTCATATAAAGAAACTCAATATCTTCATAGAATAATAATGCAGCTTTCCTCGCGATCGAAGCGGGACCTCCTCATGTTTTCAGTGGGACCTCCTCATGTTTTCAGCGGGGCCACTGAAACACCTTTAATGATGTATTTCGACCCCCATGGCAGACGTAATTGTACAGTTACTTATCAATACAGACCATATTGATCCAATATGTATTATGAAGTATGTAAATCGTATTTATTGCCTTTATTTTAACGATAAAAGTAATATATATGAACAGTAAATTATGCAAACGTGCATGTTGACGCCCCTCTTTTCAATGCCAGTGAAGAAGAATAATTTTTATGTCATTGTTTGTCAAATGTATCTGTTTTTAAAGTATTGCTGGAGTATGGAAGAACAGTAATAAGTATTTTCACCCTTTTGGTCCATTTTCCAAAGTGATGCAAATAAACAGGACTATGCTCGCGATTTCAGCGGGAACTTGCTCGCGACTTTGAAATCATAGCGGGGCTATGGATACTACCCGTGGATTGGATCGAAACCCGGTATTTTCCAACAATGAAAGCGTCGAGATGTCGTTAGTTGACTAGTTGACAAAATGGCGGCATATTTTGTGAATTTGAATGTTCAGTTGAAAGTTAATATTTAAAGATTGTCATAGGACTATAGGGCCATGCTGCTACAGTTACAATCCTGATGTAATGCAGCAACTGACCATTCATCAAATACAAGAAGTCAACTCCCTCCAAGGGTATATGAAATCAACTCTATTGAAATGTTTGGGGTTGTGTTCAAGAGGATGTGAAAAGTGGCGCCCCAATGTGCGGGGTGTTGTGAGAGTAGGTCCTCAATCTTTTCAAGAGCTCCAAACAGCCATCTTAGAGGCCATTGAAAAGCTGAAGAACAATTCACATGCATGCCAAGGATGGGTAAGAGGCGTGTGACTGGGAAAGACATTACAAACTGTGGCATGGCCTTATAGTTGCACAGCTAGCACGGCTAAGCACGTCTAAAAATTACTAGAAATTCCACAATTTATACAGTGATATGGATTTCATGTTTCTATTGAATCCCTTATTTTGAAGTCTAGCTAAATAATCGAGTTTGATTTTAAACGTTTTCGGGGATCCGGGCAGAACTCAGGATATAGTACTTGAGTACATTTGCATTCAAAATAATTCAAAATTCAAAATTGCAAATATCATGGAAGTTGATTGCAATTATGTTCGATGATCGTCAACATGAAAGAACAATATGTCTGAATAATTAGCTATTAAACATCTTTATCAAATCTTTCCTACACTTTTAAATGTTGATCTTGTCAAAGAGTACTCTCCATCTGAGATTCAGATGTAGATCGAAAATCAAATTGATTTCAAAGGTATTTATAGATGGTTTACATGAGGGGTTCTGTCCATGGTGTATTCCTTTCATAACAAAGAGTTGTTTTGCTTCCGGGGTCCTAAATTATTCAATTTTAAGTAGTAACTAATAAGATTAAACAGATCAAAAAGACTCGGGGCACTGCCGTCGCCCCATCATGATCAATACAGGTGACAATAAGCGACACATGTTTCAGCGTCATGATAGTAAACCATGACATCTCAAATCTTCCCAGCCCTTGATTTTTGAGATCTTTCATCCCAGCTCATATTTCATCTAATTGGGGTCATAAAACTTGTGTAACTGTGCCTGTTGCATCCTCGCTGGAAGGGTATTTTACAAGTATAAATGAAGTCCTTTGAAGAAGGATGTGCCTGTTGTTAAATACATGTACAATGCCTTACTACATTATGTAATGTATTGACATTAAGGTAG